TTCTGCAGATTTCTCAACTCTGAGAATTGAGAGTGTTAGGACCTTACTCCAGATTAGGCTTTGGCTTAAGTGAATGTTGTAACTGGTCTGACCTTCTATTCAGACCACTAGAACTTTCCCCAAATTAGAAATAAAGCTGTTTCGCTTCCTTATCATTCATGTGTGCACTGGAGTAGCATTTTTAATTTCTTTCAAGAACTTCTTGAAACATTCAGAGCTTGTTTGGCAGAAGAGGGCTAACTTTTGGACGGTCTCAGTTTTTCACATGCCTTCCTCACTAAGCGTAATCATGTCTAGCTTTTAATTTAAAGTGAGAGAGGTGCAACTCTTCCTTTCACTTGAACACCTAGAGGCCATTGTAGGGTTATTAATTGACCTAATATCAATATTGTTGTATCTGAGAAAATAGGAAGGTCTAAGCAAAGGAAGAGACAGGAGAATGGTCAGTGGAGCAGTCAGAACACACACAACATTTACCGATTAAGTTTGCCGTCTTTTATGGGCATGGATTATGGCAGCCAGAAACAGTTACAATAGTAACATCAAAGATGACTGATCACAGGTCACTATACAAGATATAATAATAATAAAACAGTTTGAAATACTGCTAGAATTATCTAAATGTGATATAGAGGCATGAAGTGAACACATGCTGTTGGAAAAATGGCGCTGATAGACTTGCCTGATGCAGGGTTGCTACAAACCTCCGGTTAAAAACAAAACCAAAACATAGTATCTGCAAAGTGCAATAAAGTGAAGCACAATAAGATGAGGTATGCCTGTACATTGTTTTTTTCAGGCAGATTCTTTAGGCCACTTGCTGAGATTTAGGAGGGACTCTATAATTATTATGAATACAATCACTAATATTTCTCAAATGGGCAATTTATTGACATTTTCACAAATAGTAACCAATTCCTTTTATAATAGATCATGTTAATCTTAGCTTCAGAAATGGACATTTTTTCCTTGACCTCATATGATGATAATGCATCTATTTGAAATTTTTAGCTCAAATATATTTTGTGTGTGATCGGTCAAAAAGTAATACTATTATAGTCTTCAGCTGTCTTACTATTAAGTGATACACAAAATTTAATAAGTCGTAAACTCTGTAATTTGACACTGAAAAATTATTTACTTTAAGGATTAGTGCAATTTAGGTCACCAGAAAAAATGTTTCTCTCTCTAGGAATCTCAGGCTATCACAAGCTTTCTACCTGTCTAACTTTTGTTATTATTATTATTTCTTTTTTTTTTTTTGAGTTGGAGTCTCACTCTGCTGCCCAAGCTGGAATGCAGTGGCATGCTTACGGCCACCCCAGCTCGACCTGCTGGGCTCCTGCAATCCTTTCGCCTCAGTCTTCCAAATAGCCAGAGCTACAGGTGCACGCTATCACACCCGACTAATTTTTTGATTTATTGTAGAGATGAGGTCTCGCCAAGTTGCCCAAGTTCTTTTCAAACCTGTGGGCTCAGACAATCCCCTCACCTCAGCCTCCCAAAGTGCTGGAATTACAGGCTTGAGCCACTGAACCCGGTCTATTTCATTTTTTTAAATAATTTTTTTTGTATTGATGGGGTTTCACTATTTACCCAGGCTGTTTTTGAATTCGTGGGCTCAAGCAATCCTCCTACCTTGGCCTCCGAAAATGTTGGGATTACAGATATCAGTCTATACACAGCCAAAAGTTTGTTATAATGATTTATAAAGATAGTAACATTAAAGAACTGTCACATTTTCTCTGTTATTTAAATCTCTCAGAGTTAAAATTAAATAGCCTCTGGATGAAATTTTGGAAAGGTAATTATCAGTTTTCTCTATCATCTAGACAAGTAATAAAAGAAAAAAAACTTAATAATTTTCTAGGAGGAGCCCCTACCCAGAAATAATTCACTCAATAATTTTATACATAAAAAAGTAAAAAACAGAACAAAACAATGTATAAATTGAGCAATACAGTATTATGTGGTCATTAAACTTACATTTCCAAATATACAAAATGAAATTTCAAGGTGTTTGCAATATAATTTCAGATGAAAAAATATTACTAATCATAAAAAGTAGGGTCTCATTATGTATGCTATATATGTGTATGTGTGGGCATATAGAAGAGACACACACACACAGATAAAATCATGTAGTGGCTAATTTTCATATTCTTCTTTTTACTTTTTTTTTTTTTTTGGTATTTTACAAGTATTCTGTAAAGAATTATAGAGTTTGTAAAAGGTTCTTGAACCTTATTAAAATCCTGGTTCCATATAACCTAGATTGAGTCTCTTACTGTTGTTATAATAAAAAAGTTAATAGTAACAAAGAAACTTACTTCTATGTGTCACCAGGAATAAGCATCAGTATTTCAGTCCTATTCACTTCATTATGTAACTAAACAACCCGCATTATTTTACTATTGACAACTGTCCTGAAAGCAACATGAACTTGGAAAGTCCTTAACTACTGACTTCCTGGATCTCAGCTTCCTCGTCTATAAAGTGAGAAAAATCACAGTAACTCTAGATAGGCTTAACTAGGTACATATAAAGTACACTAAAATACGGCAGTATTTAGATGGATTGCCAGGAACTTCTCAATGTTATTTATATTTGCTTCCCTATTTATAGAACTGGCAGCATATCCCCTTTCATGATAATGGGGATAGCTACCATCTGTTGGACACATTATACATAACTAAGTGACCAACACTTTACCTATGTTATCTTATTTAATCTTCACAACAGCACTGTGAGGGATTTTTATCCCTATATTCCTTGTGGTGAACTGGGACAGAGAGAGGTCAAGTGAGTTGGCCAAGGTCTCACAGCTAGTAAGTCACAGAGCAGGAATTTTCTTCCAGGTCTGTCAGACTCAAAAGTTCATGCTCTTTCTCCTATAACATATGGCTTTACACTTAGCAAGCGACTTTCCTCCTGCTACAAACATTCAAAGTGTATGGTTGCCAAAAGATTAGCTTCCTTTCAACAACCTGTCCATGGGAGAATGACAAAGAAAGATAAATACTACATGAGTGAAGTAAGGGTTTATAATTTGTCAAGTACCTACTCTGAAAGTTCCTAAAGAAACTTATTGTCTTGTTGAAGAGCTTACTCATATATTATGAAAAACTACTGTGTCCTGGATATCTTCCAGACCTTACAAACTCTTCCAAAATTTAAATCATCTTTCCTTCCAAACTGACTCACCTTCCTCTATTCTCTAATGGCAACACCATTATTCATCCAATCATGCAGTCTGTTTTCCCCTTCTCTGTCTGTTGCAAGTAAGAAAAAGGGTTGTGTTTATTTCACCTGTGACATGTCTCTTGAATACATCACCACCTTTCTATTTTCATCTCCGCATTAGTGGAAGCCCTGATCCTCTCTTGCCCTAGGTTATTCCAGTTGACTCTGAATATTAGTCTTCTTGCCTCCAGAATCACCCCCAAAATATCTCTCATACCACTATCAAAATTATCTTTCTAGAAAACAAACTTGAGCATGATATTTCCTTGCTTAAAATCTTCCCTCTCTTCCTACCTCCCAGAAGATGAATTTTTTTTTTTTGAAAGCAGGATTTACTGAGAGGACAGAAAAGCTCCCACAGTGGAAGGGGGCCCAAAGTGGTTGCCCAGAGATAAATTCTTAACATGGCATGTGGCTCTTCATAATGAAGCCCTGGACTTTATTTCTAGCCTCATATTTTCCAACATCACACATTACATTGTCACTACATTAAACTACTTGAATTTCTCAAATATACTAAGTGTTCCTCTACCATTATTTAAATTGTATGTTGTCCATGTAAACAAGAGTATATGAATTGAAAAGCATAGGAGTAATGCTAATGAACACTGGTCATGGCAGAACATAACTATTATCTTAAGTGCATATCTTTTACCTGAAATATAAGTCTCTGTTCTTTGAATTTTGGGTTTCTAAAATGTATATGCTAGAGTCCTATATAAATACTGGATGCTACTTTAGAAAGAAAGTTAATTTGGTAAATCTTCTATGAAAAAGCATTGATATAACCAACTGAAATAAGGAAGTAGATGATTTTACAAAGACAAATAAAATTGGAAGAGCAAGTATGAAATAGATTACAAAATCAAGAATGTTACATTTGCATTTCAGTTCTATTGTAGGTCTTACTGATGCAATAGCATTTAAAAAGTATTATCAGGCTGGGCTCGGTGTCTCAGCCTGTAATCTCAGCACTTTGGGAGGCCGAGGCGAGTGGATTGCCTGAGCCCATGGGTTTGAGACCAGCCTGGGCAACTTGGTGAGACCTCATCTCTACAATAAATAGAAAATTAGCCGGGCGTGGTAGTGCACACCTGTAGTTCTGGCTACTTGGAAGGCTGAGGTGGAAGGATCACAGAAGACCAGCAGGTCAACACTGGGGTGGCCATGAGCATGCCACTGCACTCCAGCCTGGGCGACAGAGTGAGACTCCAACTCAAAAAAATAAAAGTATTACTAATTCTCAATGTACTATTCTACTTAGCAATAGCCATTTCCATCCACTTCAATGTTGATTTTAACAAAGTATTTTTTAAAGTGTTTACATTTTTATGCCCCCCCTTCCCAGGCTGCCCCAATGAATATTCTTTGTGTAATTAATCCATTATGATTAAGAATATATGAACTGCCCCTGAAGGCATGGATTTCTGTGTTTAGGCATTGTTTGTTTTCTTTTATTGAAGGATTGACCAGCACAAAATTATTTCATTCATTTGGCAAGCTTCTGCCAGTAAGAAGCCTAAGTCACAAATTACAAGACACTTATTTACATTACTTACTTCTTTTTTAGCTCCCTCACTACACTGACATTCTGAAGTTAGACAACTAAGTAAGAATTAGGCTTTGGGGTTTTGGATCCCAATCAAACTTGACTCCTTGAGCTAATATTTCTTTTCTTTTTGCCCTCTGGGTCTAATTTCTCTGTGTTTACAGTACATGCAAACATGCTTCTCATTAGTATTTATTTACTACCACAGGAATCACTTTGAACTCTGCTAATCCTAGTGGAAATGCTTTTCTCAAAATAAACCCAGATCACATTGGGTTTTATCGTGTAAATTATGAAGTACCTACTTGGAACATGATAGCGTCAGTTCTTTTCTGGAACCACACGGTAAGCGATAGCAATGGCTAGGAATTATTATTTTTTAAGAACAGCATATCATTAAAATTAATATCTTAATGATATTAATTTTTTGCAGTATGCTTTGCTTTAAGAACCATGTTTCTTACCTCTCTGTTTTCCTGTTCCCAGAGCTTCTCTTCTGCTGATCGTGCAAGTCTTATTGATGATGCTTTTGCCTTGGCAAGGTGAGTTTTGTAATGAGACTAGGTTACTTAAAATACTGTAAGTTTTGTGATAAATTTTTTAAAAAAATGAATGACAACATTTAAGCATGAATCAATCTACTTAAAGTATCTAAAGCCACTATTTAAAACATTATTGTTTTTCTTAACTCTGTTTTTAAAAGCTCATATGAACCTTATAGTCAAAATACTAATATTAGCCCTTAACATACACACAAAAGCCCACCTACTGTATTGACTTTGAGTATGGCTTGTCTCTATCAGAGTCCTTGAACTGATTAGGAGTGACACTTGCAAACGCTCAAAAGTACACCTTCAAAATTTGATTTCATAAAAAGACAAGCAATGTGTTTCATAATTTAGTTCTCTGAGCCCAAGCCCATAGTACGATTTTATGGGTAGAATTTGTTAAATCTTGTTCAGGTCATTGGGGTGAGAAGAATGAGCCATATGCTCTAGGACTGGTCAGAATTAAGGTACCATTTAGTATAATTACTAGTACTAAAGGCATGGGAAAACTATTTTACATAGACTTCCAAGATAGTATATTGAAAGTCAGGCAGTTTTGACATTTTTAATGGAAAGAATTATAGAGTTAGAAAAAGGTTCTTGAGCCTTTTTAAAATTCTGGCTCCATAAAATCTTGATTGAATCTCTTAACCTCTGTCTGGCTCAATTTCCTTCTTATTCAAATGGAGATGACCTTATAAGACTCTTGTGCGGAATAAATGAGGTGACAGACATAAGGTACCCAAAGATTATCTAGCATGTAGAAAGTGCTCAATAAATTGTGGTACTTGACCAAAATGCATCCACTACTGATTAGTAGCCACAAAGATGCATTTAGAAAAGCGGTTTGGAATTTGCAATCTGTTTCCCCACTGTAGATAGTTTAATCTCCTAGATATGTAATAGATTAATTATTTTCACTCATTACAGTATACCATTCCCTCTTTTAATAAATATGAGCACCTACTATATGTCAGGTACTGTGTAGATGGTAGGAAGTTAAGTGGTAAAAGAAGATGATCAATAAGTATTTTAAAACATAGTAGAATCATTTACATTTTTTTTTTAAAACTCCTGAGAATGTCCCATGACCTTTTCCAAAGCTCAACTTCTTGGCTGTTAACAATTACAAAGAACAGTAATATTGTTGCATTTTCATTCCCATTGTAATGCAGATGGTTCTTTTTGTTCTAAGATGAAGTAAAAGCCTCCTGAACAGCTCTTTCTGAGGAACTAAGTATAAAGCAAATAACTTACACTACTGAAAGACTTTCTCGCATTTGGTCAACTCCCTAGCAATGGCCTCATAAAATTTTGAAGAGCCGTGGAAAAAAAAGAAAGTGAAACAAAATTGAAAATCAAAATATATAGAATCACAAAACAACCAAGCTGGAAAATATCTGAACTATACCTAGCACAATTTCCTTCTGTAACACATGAGGATAATGGGACACAGAAAAGAACAGACTTCATAAAAGTTGATTAGAGCTGAGAGGACAGTGTACAAAACCGTTTAAGCTAAGACTACTGTGAAACTTTAGGGGTGAGAGAAGCAGAAATGAGTAAATAGGTAGTGCTTGTGGCAGGATGAGAATTTACACAGATCTACTGAGGTGTTCGAAAAGGAATGTTAGTAGCATGTTTAATAATCAGGACTAAAAGGGTACATCTGAAAATAAATGTATTTTTTATTTCCCCGTCTCTTCAAACTTGATCTGAGGAACTAGTGTTTTTACTGCCCTGGCTAGGCAGATGACTCTTTTGGTCCTATGGAATAAATATTTACTCCATCACTTCTAGGTCAACCAAATCCTCTCAGTTCTATAATATACCCAGTCAAGTACAATCATCAAAGCTTTCTACTTAATTTAAAGCAGGGGTGTTCAATCTTTTGGCCACATTGAGTAACCTTTTGGCTTCTCTGGGCCATATCAAGTAAAGAGGAATTGTCTTGAGCTGCATATAATATAATATAATATAATATAATATAATATAATATAAATTTGACCTTATTTTTGTAATACTTGTCTATCAATGTCTGGTTCAATGGAAGTGGTTGCAATTCTTAATGAGTTCTCAAGGTGCTCATCAGAAATGTTTGTTTAAATTTTGTTCTTCGTGTGCTTCATAATAGAAAACAGCTACTCACAAATGAGTATGCTGCCAAAAAGGAATGTCATGAATAAGGCGCAAGTGTGAACTTCAAAAATGGAACTCCACGTGGGGTCACGAAGAAAATATATGCTAAAAAACACATTATGTTAAAATATTTTGTGGGGCTGTAATACTAGCTGTCCTGGGCCACATGTGGCCTGTGGGCTGTGAGTTGGATATGCCTAATTTAGAGCTTCTCCCTGCCCCCAACTCAGACCAGTTTCAGGCCAGCCACCTGCAGTAGGAATGGGGCGATGGATCTCTTAATTTCCATGCTTGGAATTTCTACATCTTCCTGCTCACCAAACTGCCCCTGGTTCCTCTGATGCTAAGGCAAGAAGAGCAGGGAGAAAGAGTAAGAGAGAAGAAGAAAGAGCCTGATGTTCTGTCTACTTTTGGTCCTCTCTGAACTTTGTGGATGTTCAGTGCTGATTCTTTTCCTAATATGGTGTTCTCATGGGATTTTTTTCCACCCATGTCCATTCCATCTCCAAGGGTCTTTCTCCTGTAGTTCCTTTGAGGTGGGTAAGTGAAAACCTCTGACCCACTTCCAGTCCCTAGAAAGTTTTCAGGTATTCTTCGGCCTGACAATGTTTGGAAGGACAGGCCACCCCATGCAGTCCTGTCTCTTTACTTTGAGGTCAGAGCACTAGCCAAACAGTCTCTCTTTTAGATTTCTTAGGGTGTCAGACACCAGGCCACTGTGCCGCCAAGCTCCAGGAAATACAGGTAAAACTCTTCAAGTTGTCCCATTGAACCCCTATTCCTTAGGCTTAATCTAACAGAAAATCATATTGTACCTCTCTCTGTTGGAAGGGAGAACATTTACAGTATATTGACAGTACTCTCCAAAAACCTTATACTAAAATGTCTCACTTTTCTCCTAAGCCTCTCCAATCTCTTTTGTAGACTGGCAGTGGGTTTTCAGTTAAGAATCACAAAGGCCTCTTCTTGACCATGTTAGTCCTGCTTCAGGATCCTGCATTTTTCTTTGGCGAACAGGCCAAGGGCACTGGTCTTGGTAACTTGCCAAAACTGAGACAGAAGAATTCTTTTTTTCTCCTGTTACAGTAGCGTGTTTTTTCTTCACAATTAGTTTATACTGTCCTCTGCAGCCCACTGTTTGCTACAGCCAGGAGTGGGAGGTGTAGTGACATAAGGGAAAGCAGAGACTATTGACTGGCAAGCATGTTGGGGGGGGGGAGCAGGAGTCACTAGGTGAGGGAAGAAAGGCAAAGAGGACAGCTTAAAAGGCCACCTAAGATAATGATTCAATTAGAATTTCATCCAGGATTCAAAAATCAGTGGCTCTAAGGATACCAAAGGTAAGGGTCAACTTAGCAAATAAGGACCCAGTATTCCTAAATTCAACAATTTACAAGCCAAGCCAAGTTTATGAACTTCTAGGTATACTGGGTTTTAACATTTTTATAAGTATTTGCAGAGGTAACCAAAGAACAATACAGAACTCTATAAGCAAATTTTCCCATCCTCTCATGAACTACCTTAAAGGAAGGGAGAAGATGGAGAATGGGAAAAGAATCCAACAGATATTTAGTTAATTTAGTTAATTGTTTTAAGTCAGAAATCTGAATTTAATTGGCACGTTCAGTTTGAAAGACTAGACAGCTGGGAACTTTTTAATGCACTTCACACCACCTGAAGGTCTTGCTGAAGAACGCAAGCACATGGGATCAGTTTCACTCATCCAAGTACCTCTCTCAACCATTTCACTGTTCCTCTAAAGAGTCATGTTTGATAAAACACTGTTCTTATCTCAGTCTTCTCTAAGAAGGACTGTGCGGTCTTTCTAAAAGTTATACCCAGGAAAACAAGAAACAAACCTTCTGCTATAAGAGTCTCCCAGCCTTCCTACATGCCATGGTCTAAGACAGAAGAGCAAGAATGCTCTCATATGACCTCTTTGTCCTCAATCTCCATTTTAGTTGTAGCGTCTATCCTCTCTATGCTATATATTATAGTCAAATTCTATGATTTAAGTCTCCCATGCTAGGCTCTCACTATGTAATCTCTTTTTTTTTTTTTGAACAAAGAAAATTCTCGACCAAGTCTGGCCCTTCAGAAGGTTTTTTTTTGGTCTATGGACTTAACGGATTCCCTAGACGCAGAGTCTGAAATGGACGCACGTATACACATGGTGTTTTGGAAAGAGTATTCTCAGGAGAGAGGGAATGAGAGAAGCAGCACAGGAGGAAAGCTGAGCAAAATGTGGTCCCAGCTGGAGGCTAACTGCGCCAGATTCCCCTAGAAACTATAAAATGTACCAGAGGATGGGTCCACCTTGAGAGAAGCTGGCTGACCTTTTGAATTTCTGAGTCAGACAATCAATGGTGGGGGAGAGGGGAGCATAAAACCTCTTAAGCAAGATGGTTGTCTTTGGCCAAGGGCTATTCTCCGGAGGAAACAGCAGCCAGCACAGCACTGCAAGGGCATCTAGGTAGGGCACTGCAGATGTCTTTGCGCTAAAAACTAGTTCTTACACGACAGTGACAGCATTGCCTAGGAAATTGGGATAAATGCAAATTCTCAGAACCTACCTCGGACCTATTGAATCAGAAACTCTGGGAGTGGGGCCCAACAGTATGTATTTAACTAACCTTCCAGGTGTCACTGATCTATGCTCAAATTTCAAAATTCTTGTTCTAAATGATATCACTCTTCCTCTGATGTACCAAATACTACTGATTCAGTGGGTAGGAGCTGTAGAGCAACATGCTTTGTGGGGGATTAAAAGTGCATCAGCTTAATCCTCAAAATATTACCTATATAATATCAGCCAGCAACAATTCACTCCTACTCCAGTGTTCTGATCCTGTGACTCAGACTTTAAACAATGACTCAAAAGTAGGACTCCTGCTCAGCTATCAAGTGTGTTGGGAAAATATAAGGTGTTAGAATAGGATGTTGATTTTTCAAGCATTTGAATACATAGTATTTATTCAGGACCTTTGGATCATTGGATTCCCTCCTTACTGTTACTTATGCCACTCAATTAGCCAATTCTTTTGGCCCTAGTAACCAATGCCCATTTCTCCCAATCTTTTCACCTACTGGATATGTGCAGCCCACTTCGTTTCTGACCAAAGAATCTGTCATTCTTCCTTAACTTTCAGTCATCTCCTCACTTATTTTAACCTCAGAGTGATAACTATTCTTTATAGGTTTCTTATAAAAATATCAATTGGATATAGTCTTTGCTGTATCTAAGAAAATAGAGAATCATCAAAGTTAGAAAATTCCCAGCTAAGTTTCAAACATCAGCACACAATTCTATAATTTTTTTTTTTTTTTTTTTTTTTGAGTTGGAGTCTCACTCTGTCGCCCAGACTGGAGTGCAGTGGCCGCTCCCGGCCACCGCAACCTCGACCTGCTGGACTCTGGCGATCCTTCCGCCTCAGCCTTCCAAGTAGCCGGAATTACAGGCGCGTGCTACCACGCCCAGCTGATTTTTTGATTTATTGTAGAGATGAGGTCTTGCTGCCCAGGCGGGTCTCGAACCCGCGGGCTCAGGCAATCCACTCACCTCAGCCTCCCAAAGGCGCGGGATTACAGGCTGAGCCACCGAGCCCGGCTTAATTTTTTTGCTTAATAAACATTCTCAATAAAACACTCCAATATTATTTATACTTTTATTAAAGAAGATTGAGTGTTCAAAAAATAAATAAAAATATAAAAATCAGGAACTAAGAAGATATGAGTACAAATAAGCTCTCTGAACTGAAAATAAACTCTGTATCATATCTTGTCCATACAAATCATGTGCTATGGAAGGTTTTCATTCCTATCTATTTCTTCATTATTCTTTATTTTTAAAATGATCTAAAATACAATAGCACTTAATGTACCTATATTCCTAAGTTCAATAATTTACAAATCATTCTTAATTTAAACCTTTTAAATTTAATTTAAGACACTATTCTCATCTAGGATACACGTGAGGCTAAAATTTAAAGTATGGCAGGTTCCTGAGAACGTGATTTCAAAAGATTCTAAAATTCCTTCAAAAGCGGAAGAAATTTAATTCTTTACATTTTGAAGTGTCAATAATATCTTCACATTTTCTGAAAGAGAAACATCTACTTTTATTTATGAGAATTACTGGGAAATGTATAAGAAAGAAGAGGCTATAAAGAAAAATATAAGTTCAATTTGAAGTATTCAGGATTCACAATTACTATTATTCATGTTTCCTGTTTATAAGCTAATGTAAATAATTTCAATAAAATACATTTATAACGGTACATTTGTATACTATAATCAGCTTGTGAACCTAAAATCTAAAAGTTTCTATTCATCAGTATTAACTGTATAGCTAAGTAGCTTTTGTTTAATTTGAAATTTTGCTGTAGAGATTTTTCAAATGTACATCTTAATGTCTTTCTTCCTCCTTGCAATTGAATGTATGAAATACTAATATATCATTTTGAACAAAACTTTTTGATTAGGCCTCAACAATAAATGTAATTCCTTAATTTTTAATGGAAGAATACTCCTCAAAATGGAATGCTTTGATCACCATATTAGTAATTTTAGTCAGCCAGAAAGTAGAGTCTATGGTGTTTTTTAAACTGTTTTTTTTTTCTTTCTCAGAGCTCAACTTCTAGATTATAAGGTGGCTCTGAACTTGACCAAGTATCTCAAACTGGAAAAGGAGTTTTTACCATGGCAGAGAGTCATTTCAGCTATAACCTACATCATTAGCATGTTTGAAGATGATAAAGAGCTATACCCAGTGATTGAGGTGATGTCTGTGCTACAGTATCTTATGAAAGTAAATGTTTAGCTATTAGTAGAATAGGATGCTTTAAGAGAGAAGGAGCTCCTGGGAACACAAATATCTATCTGCTTGCTAGGTGGAGTCAAAGGAAAGTGCAATGACTTGACTAATCAAACCAAAGATGTGCTATCTATTCTTTCTCAATTTGAGGTATAGCAGTATTTGAAGTCCTGTATACCACTTAAATAAGGTAAATTTTGGCATTAGAAGGAATACAGTAAATAATATCTTGATTAAAATATATAATATTTTAAATCATAAATGCTAAGTATATCCTGTCCTGCTGGTTTTTCCACATTTAGAGTTTATTATATGATAGTCAATCTAATATTTTATTTGCTTTCTGATTTCTATAGCACATTGGAAGGACATTCATAATTTTAAACAAATTCTGAATTCAAATCTCTAGCTCTTGCCCTTACTAAATGAGAGATCATTTACTAAATGAGAGATCTTAGATGAATGATTTAATATTTGTGGGTCTTAATTTCCTTTGTATAATAGGAATGTCAGCTCTTACCTGTCTATGGTAATAGATAGTGAGGATTAAAAAATAAAAAGGTGCTTTTTAAATCCTAAGGCAATATACAAATAAGTTATTTTTATTATTTCATCAATACTTCAACAATCTTTTTAATGCAGAAGGTATGTTGGGTGTTTTTTCCTCTGGTAACCAAGAAATGGAGATTAAAAGGGACTTGCTCAAAGTTTTATAAAACATTACAGAAAGATCCAGGATGGTTCATGTCTTTGGGATTGAAGCAAAATTGCAGAGTGATAAAAATTGAATGCATTCTTTTCCTAAAAGCAAGTCCAAAGTTCTCTGAATTAGTAGGAAAATAGATTAGAACAGGGGGCTAAACATCATAATAATTGGAATACTGTAGATAAATAGTAAATTATTACTCATTGTACATTATGCTTTTATTTCAGGAGTACTTCCAAGGTCAAGTGAAGCCCATTGCAGATGCTCTAGGATGGAGTGATACTGGAAACCACCTCACAAAGTTATTTCTCACCTTTTTAAAATTAATATTCATTTAGTATTAGTGTGTTTTAAGACATGTTGAAAAGTGCTTAAGGACCTGACTTGGTTTTTGTTTTTGAAGGTTACTCCGTGCCTCCGTGTTAGGGCTTGCATGCAAGATGGGAGACAGAGAGGCCTTGAACAATGCTTCCTATTTATTTGAGACGTGGTTAAGTGGTACTGTAAGGTGATTACTTGCCTGTTTTCATTTCTAGAAGACTTTCCACTGAGAAAAGAGTCATTGAAATCTCTGAACACAGTTTTTTCTTCTAGCCTTCCTGTGAATCTTAGGCTTCTGGTGTATCGGTATGGGATGCAGAACTCTGGCAATGAGTCTTCATGGAACTTTACTCTTGAACAATACCAGAATACGTCATTAGCTCAAGAAAAAGAAAAACTGCTCTATGGATTAGCATCAGTGAAAAATGTCACTCTTTTGTCAAGGTAAGTTGGGCTTTTATTTCATTTATATGAATGGTATTTAACACTTTATATGTATGTGACTGATTAAAGGATGATGCCTTTTCATACACACATAAATCCATTAAAAATTATTTTTCCTGAAAGTAACAAAATATCCATGCAATATTAGTTTAAACAATAAAGAAATGTAATCTCATGTGAAAACATTTCTAATTGTGTGCAGTGACCCCACATTTTCATTCAGGACCCAGACTCCTCTTTCTGTTTTGTTATGCTCAACATGTTGGATGTCTCATGACTTTTGGAGATCAAAACCCTTTTTTCTGGGTCAAAGTCTCACTTTGTTGCCCAAGCTGGAGTGCAGTGGCATGATCACAGCTCACTGCAGCCTTGAATTCCTGGGCTTAGGTGACTCTTCTTTCTCAGTCTCCTGATAAGCTGGGACTACAGGTATGTGCCATCACTTTTGGCTTATTTTTTGAATTTTTTTTTGGAGATAAGGTTTCTCCATCTGGTCTCAAACTCTTGGGCTCAAGAAATCCTCCCATTTTGGTCTCCCAAAGTGCCAGGATTACAGGCATGATCCACTGAACCTGGCTGAAATATTTTGTATTTATGTAGATGATGCAAAAATAATGGAGGAAGGACAGAAGCCAAGAGTCTCCTCACAAGGCTTTGTCTTTTATGCCAAAAGGACAGAACTGGGTCACACTTGATCATTCTGGCTCACATTCTGGTTCTATTACTTGATCATTTGCTGACTAGGATGAATTTGAATGCCTTTGACTGATTTGAGTCAATTAGGTTTCTTTAGGGCTGTTGTAGAAGCCTACCTTACCCAGATCAAGGATATCTAATGATACCAGAACAAAATTGAGCTCTGCCAGTAGAAAAATAAGAGTGTCTGCCACAGTGTGTTTGTGTGTATGTGTGTGCTTGCCCACACACACACACACACACACACACACACACACACACACACATTTACACTCCACTCCGAAGGTACAAAGACCACTTGAAGCCCATCTATGAGTCTTTTCCCACTCCACATCTATGCATTGAATCAACTAACTTCTGCCTTAATTCATTATTGACTTAGTTATGGTGTCTGAGTTATTTACTTTATCCATTTAACCAACACTTATGGTGTCTTTTCTATGTATAGATATATGGATATGGAAATAAAAATGAATAAAGCATAATATCCATCCTTGAGAGACTTATAACTTCATTGGAGAGGCAGAATGTAAATAGTAAATTATAATGTAATACCAGTTTAGACTACCAGAAATGGTTTGCTTTTACCTGGTAGAGACAACAGTACACCTTCACCATCCTACCTCAGGATTATATATCAATTCCCCATCTCTCTGCCATGAAAATCCATCAAGAACTTGATCAACTTGCCATCCCACAAAACATCTCACTGATCCATTACTCTGTTGGCATTGTGCTGATTGTATCTGATTTTTTTTAAAAAAGCAAGTACTTTAGTTGCCTTAGTAAGACTCTTGTAAACTAGAGGGTGGGAGATAAATTACATAAAAAGCCCATCACTTTAGTGCAGTTTCTGGAATTACAATGGTCTAGAAGATGTCTCAATATTCCCTCCTATATAAAAGAAAGTTTCTGCACATTGCACAACTTATCATACACACAAAGATTATTTTAGTGGGATTAATAAGCTTTCTAAATAATTTGGAGGCAGAATAACCTACATATGGTATATTACTTCTGCCATTTACAAAGTCTTTCGGTTTTGGATAGTTGCCAGAGTGAAAGAAGGTTCTTCAACAAGTCCAGGCCTCAGTAAAAGCTTCTCTGGAATTCCTTTCTTATCTGAAACATATGACAAATGTGTTGTCTTTTCATATAAGTATATTTGCCCACACAACTGCAAGTACAAAGAAAATGTAGTATCTTAATTTCCTATCTGATTGTTCCTAAGAGTTCTCACACTGTTGGGTGATGAGCCGGTAAGAGGGAACAGCTGATGCTGACTGTTTTGTCTGTCAGTCTAATTTTTAAATAAATTGTTAAACTAGAATTCTAATTTAAATAGAGTTAAAAGTTCTCTTGGAGTAAATGTTCAGTCTTCTGGAATTTCCATCCCTTCCTCATGTTCTTTCTGTATTAGAAGGCATAAGTCACCCTTGTGGTGATGGAGAAAGAAAGAAACCTCTGGTCTTTGTTGGTTTTGCCTTAAGGTACTTACCTATTTTGGTCTTGAACCAGAGTCCACTGAGTTTTCACTGATCATATTTTATCTGCTGGAGCACTGTCCATCATCCACAGATGAAAGCTGTGTTCTTAGTCATTTGCTTTTGTGCATGAAGTACCTGCGATGTGTGGAATTTTCATTTTCTCAGCAGCCCTTCCAACATCCCTACCCCTTATTGATAGGCTGAAGAAACTTCTAGGTCCTCCTACACAGTGCTCACAAGTCAAAGGATCCAGGAGAATCATCTTAGCCCATTAACCTATTCATCTCACCTTGTCTTGGATGCAGTATCACTCTCCTGTGCCATTTTGGCACAGCACAAAGGTAGACACTAAATTATAGCCCTTTTCTCTAGGAGTTGGTGTTTGCCAATTTCTTATGTGGGATAAACTTCCTTTAAGGTTTGAGTTTTTTCCAGTCTCACTTAGGATACATTTCTATAGTTAAGCATGCTAGGGTTCTTGATATATAGTAAAAACATATAAAATTTAGAAAGTATTTTCTCCTTGGCAAAGGCTAACACTCAAAACTATCCCACAACTCTAGTTGAATAGTGATCCTTTGTTGTAGTTATTACTTCTTATCCTTCTAAAGATAAGAATTAATTGAGCCAGTGGGTAGGATGCCATGGGACAGCAAGACTTGGATGTGAAAATATAGAAGGTCTATCAGCAATAGACATCTATTGTTGAGATGCCCTTCTCACAGTAAATAAAATATGTGCTTATCTTATTTGGAAACACTTTTTCAATACAATATTCACTTGTTAGGTCATGGACTAGAAATATAATTCTCGGTAGAGCCATGGAATACATTTAATAAAATATATCCATTTGGTCATTTAATTTATCTTGTACTTATTTGTGTTATCCTATAATAGCCAACTAATTTAACCATATAGGTTGCATTACAAGGTTGTTTCCTATAGTCTAGGGAAGAACAAGCAAAATTCTACTATTATCCTGCAGAAATTAAGGGCATATATATTTTATCTTAATCTCCTGATTCCTTTTTTAAATGCAGTGGGATAATAAGTGAATGAATTGCTTTATTCAATGTTTTCATTGTTTTGGGTATTTTAAAAATAATTTAATTTTTTAAATGTGCCTATAGTTTATATTTCATTAGTCCTCAAATTCATAGGTTGTTCTTTAAAAACAGTGAAACATATTGGAAAACTTTAAATTGTTTTTCATCCTTTGTCATATTTAATTAACTTTGTCATTTGATGCCTCAAGAATTGAATTGCTGGAATGAGAAGTATTTGGTATTGAAATTTAACTAAGGGTGAACATTAAAAGTTCATTTTGAATTGTTTTTCTGTTTGGCTTCTTTTAGGTATTTGGATTTGCTCAAGGATACAAACCTTATTAAAACTCAGGATGTGTTTACAGTCATCCGATATATCTCATATAACAGCTATGGGAAGAGCATGGCCTGGAATTGGATACAACTCAATTGGGACTATCTAGTCAACAGGTGGGATATCAGATAATAGTTTGCTGTTCTCTTTGTTTCATGCCATCTACAAGTTCCATCTTTTTCTCTTTGGAGCACTTTCTCTGACATCTATATAATATCTGAAACAGCATATTATCAGAGGCAAAGGATCATGGTGTTTTCCTTTCCTGGAAGCAATATACTAGTCCATTTTAGGTACAATTTTTTTTCTGGAAATTATTGTTTCAATTGAAATATAGGATTCTGAGATCTAAAGAGATGACTATCGCATTATTTTTAGTTTGGTTAAGACGTTAATATAATTCTGCCTGCTGTGCTAATATCTGGCTTAATGCCAGGCACATATTTAGTTCTCAATTAATATTTGTTGAAAACTAAATAAGAATTCCTGGACCTGTGTTCACTTTAGAGCCTTTTGTTATACTGAGCATATACAGATGAGAACTTTTATATAATAATTAAACTTCAAGTATTTTGAATCATTCTTCCAAGAGAACTATATTTCCCAGGCAACAGCAACTTTAAAATGAGAACTAGCAAGGACAAGAGAAGAGTAAAATCAACAAAAGGGATGCTTTTCCAAACGTGTTTCTTTAACCCCATGCATAAGAAATATTGCTGTTCTTGGTTCTAAGTCTCTAAACATAATGCTCAATTTCTATTAAAAAGGCATTTTCTTCACAGGGATGAAATAGAATATAAAATAAATATGCCCCAGTAAACTTGTAAACTTTGATGAATAGACCTTTATCATCCATAATCCCCACATTAGAAAATAGCCGTTATACTCTCCTAATCTCTGCTGTTATAAGTATCTGTTATACTCTCCTAATCTCTCCTGTCAATCCAGCAGCACTGCTGAGTTGATAATAACTGCCTTATGAGAAATACCAGCTACAATGATAATTCTTACTTTTCTCTTTCTACCCTGCAATTCACCAGAGCGCTATTGTGTCCATTTGCTTTCTTTTCCTTCTGAGATCCAGAAGGATCTCTCAACAAAGACACATTACATTGGTTCTGCCTATTTATGTTAAATTTTTGCCTTTCCTATTCTTGTGACTGTTGGGTGTAACTGCTTATTCATCTCTGCGAAGACTGGTTGATATGTGTGTGTGTGTGTGTGTGATGTGCATTGTTCATCTGTTTATAATTGTTTCAGTGAAGCGCTTGGTTTAGAATTAATAAATCTACCTAGTAAGAACATGTTATCTGGACATAATAGTTCATATCACGCATAATAACACTCTGCATTTTGAAAGATGTATGCCTAATGACATGTACTGTGCACACTGTTGTAATTGGAAACACCATAAAACTCTCTCTTCTTTGCATATGTATGCTGCAAGAAACCTATGTAGCTGAAGCACAACACTTACTTCTGAGATATTATGAAAAAGATAAGTAAATAATGCTCTATTTTGTAAAATAAAATGGTCATTCACTCATTATTTATTAAAGTATTTCTCAAGGCCTACTTGAATAGCTCTAGTGTGATTTATTTCAAATAATGCATTTTTCATTTTTAAAAATCAGCTCACTGCTATACCTCTAGAAATACTAGGAGGTAGGAAAAATAGGTTTTACCTTGTCACAAAGGTCATATACATCTGGCCTTAAAATAAATGTATTAGGCCTAATAAACTGAATTTTTCTGACAAAATAATAAACTATTTCCCGAACTAGTTCCAAAACCCTCGCCCAAGGTTTTCAGTATTTCTTCATAGCCTAACGGTTTCTCATGAGATATTATTCCAATGTCCCCAAACATAAAGTTATATAATAACCACATGTCTAACACACACAAACATCCAATATTAATTATGTTTGATTTGAATAAATAGAATTTCTCCATAAAATGGGTAGGACAAATTAAATAGAAATGAGCCAAACTTTATCCAAATATTTGTAAACACTTAAACATGTTCCAAATTTCAGGATGAGTAGTTTTACAACCTCTATTTCCCAAATATTTATTGTCATCCTAATATAAATAAGCTGCTTTTTAAATAAAGTTTTTATTGTGTGATTTTTATGACAACTGATGGTCACACCACTAATGTCCTTGCCAGTTTGAGACTTAACCACAGAGTTCCAGAGATACTTCAGAAATTATTCTTTGCTTTTCTTTTTTCCACTAAACTTTTAGATGAAACTATGAAGTTGAATGGACCCAATAAGTCAATAGTGTGGTGTGATTTTTGTTTATGACTACATATGAAAAACTAAACCTATAGGACATGACTGAAACTATTTAAACACTACCTCATAAATAAAATAGTTTAATAAGATCTTAAAAGTTTTGTATGTATCAAAATCATTTCTTTTTGATACCATAATCTTACTTATGTTTAATGCTAAATATTTAAGTATTTAATATTACACATTAAGTCTAAGAATAAAATTTTATATAATATTTTCAAATGATTTAAAATATAATTAAGTCCTTATTTTAGTTTTAAAATAACTAATATAAATATACTGTATATTTTTCCCCTATTTTCTATAGTTTATATGATATTGGTTTCTAGGTATGAACATATTTTGCTCTCATATTTCTAGTATTTACACAGATGATTTCAGTTTGTATTCAATCTATTCATTGCTAGCTCCTAAACATGTGCTTTAATTTTAAGTCAAAACACAGAGGAATATTGTAGAAATTATAGAAGGTCACTGAAAAAATTTTTTGTTACTGAAATTAGTAGAATTTCTTTGAACTTATAGAGTCTCATTGCAGCAATTTAGTGTGATTTACTTTTTCAAATTCCCGTTTTCCTATTATAAAACTGATACTTTTTTTGAACAAAATGCAAATAAGCAAAAATTAGAATCCAAAAATTACCTGTAATGCAACCACCTTGAAATAACTTCTATTGTCATGTTACTGTTTTTCCTTTGTTTTTCCTATGGCAGTTTATTTATTTAATTTACAGAAATGAAATAATGATACATATGGTTTTATAAAAACTTGCTTTTTTCCACATCACCTTATAGTTATGTCTTTAAGTGTGAATCCTTAGTGTTAATTTCAGTAGCTTAATACTGTTTCAATTTGTATATATATCTTCACTTATTTAGCCAATTCATATCTGTTGGACAACAGAATTATTTCTTTCGCTACTGTACATAATGTACTGATGAACATCTTTGAAACTGAATCTCTTTGTCTTTTTTGAATGTGCTTGACAATTTATTTAGAATACAAATACTACTAGAAGTAATACTAATGGATTAGAGGATGTGTTTATAGGGTTTCTGATAAATGGTATAGAATTGCCATCCAGAAACTGAATAACTGCCTATTTTTCCAACCTTGCCTACTCCGTGTTGTTATTTCTAAACATCCTTTCTAATTGAATGTACAAAAACTGATATTTCACTTTAAATTGTAATGATTTCATTCAGTAAATATTGTGAAGCACCTACTATGTGTTAGGCATTATGACTGGCATTGGAGATGCAATAGTGGAGAGACATAGACCTGGTTCTCCTCCTTAGTGTCTAGTGATAGAGACCAATATTAAGAATCACACAAATACATGTGTACTTTTTTGACATAAATGATTAAAATTCAAGAAAGCTTAAGGCTTAGGCAAAAATATTATTTAAAATTGTAAACCATGGAATCTAAACTATATAAATAAATAAGTGGAAGTAAAGGAAGAGCTGATGGTCTGGGAGGAAGTAGCAGAGGGGACATTCAATGGGCCAAAAATGAAGGTGAAGTCTCAGAACAGTTCTAGCGGAAACTGAAAGATATATTATGTTGTAGAGGGTGCATGAATTAGGATGTTCAGAAATAACAACACTGAGCAGCCTAGGTTGGAAAAATAGGCAGTTATTATTCAATTTCTGGATGGCAATTTTGTACCATTTGTCAGAAACCCTAAATATAAACGCATCCTCTAGCCCAGTAGTATTTATTTCTACTAAATTAGAGGCAGGTTACTTAGGAGTAATCACATGACATTGTGGAAACCTTGGTAGCTAAAGTTGAGTGAAGAAAATATCATAGGAAACAAGGTCAGAAACTACGTAGCTAACATGTTACAGTGATCATTGTGTGGCCCTTGAAATCACCCAGGATGATGTCATGGCTTGGTGTAGAGAGAAAGACTAGGAGTCAGGTGTCTGAGGAACAGAGGGATTATTTTGTTTGCTTGTTTTTGAGTCAGAGAATCACTCTGTTGCTCAAGCTGGAGTGCAGCAGCATGATCATGGCTCACTGCAGCCTCAACCTTTTGGGTGATCCTTCCAACTCAGCCTCTTGAGTAGTTGTGGCTACAGATGTGCACCACCACATCTGAGTAATATTTTATTCTTTGTAGAGACGAGGTCTTACTGTATTTTCCAGGCTGGTCTCAAACTCCTGGGCTCACCTCGGCCTCTCAAAGTGCTGAGATTACAGGTGGTGAGCCACTGCACTCAACCCGAAGGAACAGAGGTTTTTAAAGAGGGTGGAAGAGTTATGGTCTGGAAGTAGCGATGGGGAGCATGAGCACACTGACCCCATTTCCTGACCTGGTGCTACAAAGGATGCAGAAAAATATATACTCTCTAAATGAGACATACTGTTCTCTGTAAAGGGACAGATCCAGAGGGCTAGGTGAAATGGTTTGAGAGATTGGAACAATCTAGGAAATGTGTCAAAGGCAAGGAAGTACACACATTTAGGAACAGTGTTTCTAAATGCCTCATTTTAAATAATGACTAATGACATTAGAAATGTCATTAAATAATGACATTTTAAATAATGACTAATGACATTAGAAATTAAAAAAAAAGTGGATATAAATTCAGTGATGATAAGAGTGGGCATTGTATACAGTATACTGAAGATCATGGTTATTAGAACATTTCATCTTTTCTCATTGATAAATTTCATTCCTTTGCTAAATAATTTATGCTAGCATATTTCAACCTTTTACCAGTCTGTAAGAGTTCTTTATATAGTAAAAATATTTACTTTTTATTCTTTAGGTTATACTATTTTTTTCCAGTTAGTGCTATTAATTTTATATATGGCAGGTTTTCTTTCTAGTATAAATGTTTGTTCGTTGTCCAGGCTAGTCTTGAACTCCTGAGCTTAAGCAATCCTCCCATCTCAGCCCCCTGAGTCCATGGGGTTACAGGAAATGAACCATTGTGCCCTGTTTAGTATAAACCTTTCAAATTTGTATAAAACAAACTTTATCAGTTTCTATTTTCATGATTTCTACTTTTGCTATGTAACACAATTTAAATGCAAAATTTCTCTTACTGTTTTATAGATATTTTCTTGTATCCCTCCCAACATTCCAGTGGTTCAAGGCTTATACATAGTTTTGTGTTGTTTTTCTTACAGTGTAATTAGTTGATGAGATTTTTGCCTCTATCATGACCAATTGTATTATGATCTGTAAGAAAACTTCTAATTCTTGCTCTTTAAGAGAGAATATGCAGCCAGGTGCAGTGGCTCATGCTTGTAATCCTGGCCTTTCAGAGGCCAAGGCGAGAGGATTGCCTGAGTCCAGGGGTTTGAGAGAAGCCTGGGCAACTTGGTGAGACCTCGTCTCTACAGTAAATAAAAAAATTAGCTGGACGTGGTGGTGCGCACCTGTGGTTCCAGCTACTTGGAAGGCTAAGGCAGAAGGATCACCTGAGCCCAGCAGGTCAAGCCCATGGTGGTTGTAAGTGTGCCACTGCACTCCAGCCTGGGTCAGAATGGGACTCTTACTAAAAAAAAAAAAGAAAAGAAAGAAAGAAAGGGAGAGAGAGAGAGAGAGAGAGATTATGCAAAAAAACCAGGAATAGAATATCATCTCTAAAATTTTATCTTGGAGCTTTAATTTTGGTGTCTTTGCTTAGTTAGCCAGAGGTAGGTCACATTCCCCAACATGCAAGTACCTCCTAAAGTTTTTTGAAAGCAGAATAAATTGTCTATGTTAAAACTTCTGTACCAGCAGGAAGATGCATAGAGTATTAGCTAGGATAATGGCGCTGGAGTTGTTCTGTTGTAACAGAAACACAGAAATGCAGCAGCTGAACAGTGGATATGGGTAATTATTTCTCACTCAAGTTAGACTCCTGAAGCCAGCAGTTCCAGTAGTTAGGGTGGTTCTGCTTTGTGAGGCTAGGCCATTATCTTATCTGTGTGGCTGAAGCTGAATCATTGGTATTGTTTATGTTCCAGCTTGTGGGAAAGGAAGAAAAAAAAAAAATTTAAGGCAAACAAATTCCCTTTCTTTAAGCCAGGAGTTGAAGAATTAGGTCACCTATCTATACCAGGCTATGAGAAAGGCTGAGAATCGCAGTCTCTAGCTGGGTACTCACTTGTATAAGAAAAAAGAATAGATTTGGAGAGTCAACAGGCAGTCTACCAAATGTGAGAAAGTGTTGTGACTCTGTCTACAAAAAGAAGTCAGAATATATTAAAAATTTATCTTGAATATAATTATTTTAAGTGAAATGGGTCTTTTTACTGTCTTACTTTGAAAATTAATTTTTAAGAAACAATAAAATAAAAGGAAGCATCTGCATTTAGAGAAAATATGTAAAGTTATGTACACTTATACTTGTTTTTACCTCTCTAAATTTCTCTTTAGATATACACTAAATGACAGAAACCTTGGCCGGATTGTCACAATAGCAGAGCCATTCAACACTGAATTACAACTCTGGCAGGTATGAAGATATGCTCCTTTATATTTTTCTAGGAGTAGAACCAAACTTTTTCCCCCCTCCAAATACAAATGGTATTTTCTCTCTTCAAATCATAGAAAACAATAAGAAACAATTATTTTTATTTCTGCATTTTTGAAATATTTTATTTGAAACATGACATGACATTTTTGCTTACTTATCTTGATAAGTTTACATACTGAAGTGAGAAATAATTATTGTATCTAATAAAATGTATACCTTTTTTTTAATCTGAAAAATAATTCAAACGATCTCCAAGAAAGTTTAAAAGCTGAGAAAGGGAAGACCTGGGAAACTGAGAAGGCCACATGAGAACATTCAGTTTACCAAAGTATGGGCAAAAAGCCTTTCCTTTCCTGGTAAATGTGATTCTGGAATAAGTGGGTCAAGATTTGAGTTCATTCAGAATTTATAGTTTTTGAATTTCAAAACTAACCCCAAATCTTTCAGATTTCAAATATATCAGTTCCCAGAGGGGAAAAATATCCATTAATGTTGAAGTTTCAGTATCAGTGTGTTAGACATTAAGATGTTGAGTCTTCTGTATTGTTAAAAAAATAATTATTTTTGTATAGTAAATAATAGAACAGTTATGTTTGGGGGAGGGTTTTGGAGGTCAGAGGAAGGATAGAGCCAAGTCTAACAAAGATTTTCTCCATGAGTCCTTTTATGTGAACTGAAAGCCTAAGAAAATACTTCAGACTCCTGAAGGTGAAAGGTTAGGCAAAACCATAATTCCATAGGCCAGATTTTCCAGGGAACACTCAAGGAATTCACAGAAAATAGAGAACACAGCAAAAACAGTAATGGGCATGGCAGCCGCTGACATGCTGCCCTCCTTCCCTAACATGTCAGAGCCTGTTCTGGCTTGATATTCTGCCATGGTCCAAAACCCTTAAGTAACAATCGCTAATCTGAGAGGTGGGCTTCATCTGAACAATGAACCAAGAGATGTAGCTCAGTGTCGTGCAGTGATACCAAATTTCCAGGTAAGAAAGAAACAAATTCAGTTTGTAAATAAAATTCTTGAAGAATAATTTAGCTTAAAATGACTTTCCTAATTACTTCTCTCTTTTCTAGATGGAGAGCTTTTTTGCAAAATATCCAGAAGCTGGAGCAGGAGAACAGCCAAGGCAACAAGTGCTGGAAACAGTGAAAAACAATATTGAGTGGCTAAAACAAAATAGAGACACTATAAGAGAATGGTTTTTAAATTTATCTAAAAATGCTTAGTGTATTCAAATGTTATAGTTTAATTCTGTGAATCTGTTTCCTCTACTAAGCATTTGGTAGCCTAATTTACAAGCACTATAGAGAGAGACTTATAAACAGAAACTACTTTTACTAAGTACAGTGTTTATACATCTTGCAAAGCTTTTAAATTGTTCCTCTTTGTTTATGAAGGAAGATACTAATAGAGTATTTAATATACTCAGGGATTTCATCTAAGTGTACTTCATAAGAGATTCTTTACAAACTGAAGATAATTTAATAGTCATTTTAGTGTCTTTAAATATCATTCTTTGTATCTTAAATCTGTGAAAATAGAACAATTTGGTCTCAGCTTTACATTTTTAGTACCAAAGAAACACCACTTAATCTTCTTTCTTGATTGATTTTTAAAGTTTAAATACCAGTACTTGAGGGACCAATATTACCATCTTAATCTTTATTTTATTATTCAGAATTACACACACCTAATATCATTTTATTCACATATGTCTTACTACTTTAAATCCTACCAAAGTAACCTAGGCTTAAGTTTTACTCATGGAGTGCATGAATTAGCCAAAGAAAGGGCTGACTGTTACCTTTACTCTTATAAAAAAGAGCACTCTCTTCTTCTCTAAAAAATAATTCTAAACAATTACCTTGAAAAGATATTGTTTTCCAGTGTCACTTTACTCTTGAATAAAAATGACTGCAGCATTCTTTAAATAATTTAACACATCACAAATAAGATTCAAGAACCTGGCCTTTTTCATGCTTGGTACTCTCTCATCTTGCTTCATTCCTTTCAAAGCTCCTTCAAATATGCTATGAAATTATAGGGAACATACTGCTTAACTCTGCTCCATGGATTTTAGAGGAAAGAAAGCTAAATAATTGGAAACTGTTCAGGAAAGAGAGAAGGCAGATTATTCCATAAAACTAAATGGAATTAGAATTTAGCTTTGACCTCACCTGGCAATCAAAGTGTGAAAATGCGGAGACCCATGGATAGCCCCAGCATGACTCTGCATATCTGAGGATATATCTTCTCATAGATACTTTTTATGTATAAACCCTTAGATCCTAATCCATACAGAATAGCACTGATCAAATTTATATGCGTGACTTGATTAAAGACATCAATTTCACAGAAGCTGGTGGTGAGAATATGTTTAATATGGCACTTAAAGCTTAGTAGAGCCACAATGCAAATACAATGGGCTGAAGAGATAGTAACTTACTATATTCCAATCTGTTATATCTAGAAAATATAAATTTATTTGGAACTCTCAGAAATATAAGGTAATTTAGAATTGGCTTGATGAGAATTGAAACATATGGGAACAATCAAAATTTTAGTTTTGACTTTATTTATACAAGCATGTGCCCTAATCATGTACTCAGAAGCTTTATAAACTTTTCTGTTGCTGTTTCTTAACTACTACTTCTTAATTCATACAGCTAAACTAGCCAATATAAATGAAGACATGGAGGGGGAAGACAAAAAAGAAGAAATTTCCAGACAAAAGTTTAAAAATATTATTTCAAATAATTTCAGAAGCAAAAACATATAACATCATAAATTATCAGTAAAAAAATCCCACTATCCTCTTGAGATTAACATCCTAACTTCCAATTCTGACCACAATCAGAAGCAGCACTTGAATTTTATGTATTGTTCTAAGTGGACATATTCAGAAGATGGTTTTTCCTTCTGTTTTATAAATTAAATACATTTTGAGGAAAAATACAGGTTTGAAGGGGATAGTAAATAAAAGATTCCAATTTGCCTACAATACATTCTATTTCATTCCATTTCCTTCTTTATACTGTTTCATTACATCTTAAGCATTAAAACTGAGGACAAATTCTTTAATTCTCTTCGTGTGAAAAAGAGCTATTTGTACTTTGTCATAATAAGTCCACTAGATCACCAGGTCCTTCTCAAACACAACCTGGTTTCTAAAAGGCTAATGCCCAATATATAAATCTATACCAAGCACAGTTTACTACTTTGCTTGTTTAGTTTCATCACAGTATTCATAGGGACAAAGATTTAATATGATGTTTCCAAAATTAAACCACTGTAAATTTAAAATTAATTTTAATTTTAAAAATTAACCCTCTAATTTAAAGAATTAACTGGAAAATATGATAAGCAAGATCATATAGCAAAAAGCAGGATCAGTAATGCTTTCCCTCCAGGCAGCCTACTTTTGTATTCCAGATCATTGCTATGTACCTGTATAATTATAAACTAGGGGTTTAAATAATAAACCATTGATGTAAAACTGGCAGGCAAGGAAGGTTTAGGAAGCAGGGATGAGGTGTATAGCGTGGTCGAAGGCTGCAGGGTTGAAGGTTTGGGAAGCAGGGATGAGGCGTATAGAGGGGTCGAAGGCTGCGGCATTCCTAAAGTTTACCCTCTGGGTTGGTAAAGTGTTAGCCTAAGAATAGATAAATAGAGAGGGCAAAAATCTAGAACAATAATTCTCAAAGGAGATTGGGATGAGGAGGAAATAGAAGGGAGAAGATTCAAATTACCAGTGGAGCTTTATAAAACACAGCTAAATCATCATCACTAACAAACTTTTTTTTGCCAAGGACTGTGTTCCAAACACCAACACTCCACATACACTAATTTTTACATTTAATCTTTACACCCCCCCATGAAGTAGACATTGTTATTTTCCCTATTTTACAGATGGAAAAACTGAGATGGAGAAGTTACAGAAATTTCCCAAGGCTATAAAAGTAGCATCTGGCACCAATTAAGATTTGAACCTAGAGAGTTTATCACTCTAATCTCCATTTTAATCTATGTTAGTGTAAAAACATGACTTTTGAAATTACAGTGACCTGAGTTTGAATATCAGCTACTTGAGTGTTGAATGCCCTTAATCTCTCCATTGCTGTTTTCTCATCTGGATCAAAATAGTAACCATGCCAATGGGTTGTTGTGAGGATCAAATACCAAAATGCATGTAAAAGATGCATATATAGAAAATACTAGCTGGGCTTGATGGCTCAACCTGTAATCCCATGCTTTGGGAGGCTAAGGTGAGTGGATTGCCTGAGCCCACGGGTTCGAGACCCGCCTGGGCAACTTGGTGAGACCTCATCTCTACAATTAATCAAAAACTAGCCGGGTGTGGTAGCGTGCGCCTTTATTTTCAGTCACTTGGAAGGCTGAGGCAGAAGGATCGCTGGAGCCCAGCAGGTCGAGGCTGCGGTGGCCGGGAGCGGCCACTGCACTCCAGTCTGGGCAACAGAGTGAGACTCCAACTCAAAAACAACAACAATAATAAAACCCAGAAAAAACTGATCATTCAATAAACGTTAGCTATAATTACTGTTACTCTTATATCTACTAGTCCCCACTTGGATAATAGTTTGAAAAATATATATTTATGTATTGATTATGGCTGCTTTCCTGCTGCAATAGCAGTGCTGAATAGTTGCAATAGAGATCTCATGGCCCTCAAAGCCTAAAATATTTACCATCTGGTCCTTTACAGATAAAGTTGGTCGACCCCTCCTGGATCTCATCTTTATTCCTTCCTTCCTTTTGCACTTAATTCTCTTTTTTTTTTCTTTTTTCTTTTCTTCTTCCACACTCTAACCTAGAGGTTTTCAACATCAACACTATTGCCTTTTGGGGTCTGATCATATTTTGAGGGCTATTCTGCACAGAGTAGTATGTTTTGCAGCATTGCTGGCCTTTATTGTCTAGTTGCCAGTAGCACCTCCCACAACAAATGTCCTCTGGATGGCCAAATAACTTCAGTTGAGAATAATTGCCTAGCCTTAAACTTGTGACAGATGCTAAGGCATAATTTAACCACCCTTAAAAACAAGGAGATGCTGCTGACTTAAGGCATTCCTACCTAAGGTTATAGAAATGGCAAGACCAAAGATGGTTGGGAAAAAGGAGCAATAATGAAGAGAATACTAGTATTAGAGAAGTTCTTCAGATAAATAGAATCAAAAGGAGACAAAATTTAAATGGAAGTGTGTTTATTTTATGTATTTACAAAATAAGATATATACTTATACTAAAAGGAGATTTATAATGAGGAATTGGTTCATACGATTATGGAGACTGAGAAGTCCCACAGTGTGCCATCCCAAGCTGGAGATCCAGGAAAAGTCAGTGATGTAATTCAGCCCAATTCTGAAGAACTGAGAACCAAGGGGGTCAATGGTGTCAATATTGGTCCAAGGGTGGAAAAGACGAGAAAAGTTGTTCCATGTCAAGCAGTAAGGCAAGAAAAAAAATGAGTCAATTTCCTTCTTTTTCCACTTTTTATTCTAAGGTGCCCATCCACCTTGGAAAGTGCAATCTACTTTACTGAGTCCTCTGATTCAAATGCTGATCTCACCTTGAAACTCCCTCAGAAATAGAACACAGAAATAATGTTTAATCTGGATATTCTGTGGCCCAGTCGAGTTGACATATGAGATAAATTAACCATTATAATGGAATTAGGTACTCATTCATTCAAATAACTAATATCTATAAAGTTTCTGTTATATCATTAAACTATTTTAGGTACTGGTTGTCCTAGGTCAGTGAGTGGATTTAGAAAACAAATGGAAAAAAAGTTGAGTTAAGCTGAGTGCAGTGACTCACACCTGTAATCACAGCTTTGAGAGGCAGAGGTGAGAGGATTGCCTGAGCCCAGGGGTTTGATACCAGCCTGGGCAACTTGGCAAGACCTTGTCTCTACAATAAATGAAACATTAGCCGGGCATGGTGACACGTGCCTGTTGTTCCAGTTACTTAGAAGGTGAGGGGGAAGGATCACCTGAACCTAGCAGGTTAATGCTGCGGTGGCTGTGAGTGTGCCACTGCACTCTAGCCTGGGACACAGAATGAGATTTCTACTCAAAAAAAAAAAAAAAAAAAAGTTAAGAGGGTAATGGAGTAGGAAGAGACAAATGGAGCAAGAAGAATGTTGACTCACTTTAGCAGTTGACCAATACTCCACTAGAGAGCCCTCAAATGTTAACATTTTCTATATACATAAATATGTATATGACTTAATGTTTAGATTGTATGATTTAAAGATGTGCTAGATATTGTCAACTGGCACTGGGCCACCATTTCTCCCAGCATGTCCTCTCCTGTATATTGTTGGGCTGGGATGCTAAAGCCTGTACTTCCCAGGCTTCCATACCATTTATGTTCTGCAGATGATGTGTACTTGTAGGAGATTCAGAAGGAAATGAGAGAAGAGGCTGTTCTTTCCATAACAGTTCAAGGAAAAACAGTTTGGAGGGTAGACATGAGTTGGTAGCATCTGAATTCCATGGTCCTGTCTATTCACCATCTCTGTGGAGCAAGGAATCTATGAGATGCTTTCATAGTTTCCTCATTTCTGGGTTAATTAGCGGATTTTAATGTCTGAATGAGAAAGATGGATTTATTCAACTTGGAAACCAGAAGCTTGGCACTGACCCTCCAATTTCTGTTTCTCAAACCCTTTTAATAAAATGTGTCTAATTCTCTGTATTTAGTTTTTGTCAACTTAAAATACCTAAAGAATTTACTGAACTGGTCCCTGAATGATACAAAATGAAACTATAGATTTTATGATGGTTTCTATTTTCATTTAACTCAGTGCTTCTTTCCTGTCCTTTGTTCTTACCATCTTACCCAGCTTGTAGCTGGGTCCTTTGGTTGATACAGACTGATGGACTGGAGTGATCTTCAGAGAGACCACTCAGCCATGATAC